GGCGTTCAATCATTGACACGCATGTCATACAATAATTAAGACAACTCCTATGGCTCCTGACGGTTGTCATACTCATCGACATGCAAGTCGTGATTCCTATTACAAGAACATGATCTCATACATCACATATATATCATTCATCACAACTTTTGGCCATATCACATCACCAGGCATATGCTGCAAAACCAAGTTAGACGTCCTCTAATTGTTGTTGCATGTTTTACGTGGCTGCAATAGGGTTCTAGCAAGAACGTTTTCTTACCTACGTGAAAGCCACAACGTGATATGCCAATTTCTATTTACCCTTCATAAGGACCCTTTTCATCGAATCCGCTCCAACTAAAGTGGGAGAGACAGACACCCGCTAGCCACCTTATGCAACTAGTGCATGTCAGTCGATGGAACCTGTCTCATGTAAGCGTACGTGTAAGGTCGGTCCGGGCCGCTTCATCCCACGATGCCGCCGAAGCAAAATAAGACTAGTAGTGGCAGGAAAATTGACAACATCTATGCCCACAACAAATTTGTGTTCTACTCGTGCAAAGAAACTACGCATAGACCTAGCTCATGATGCCACTGTAGGGGAACGTTGCAGAAAATAAAATTTTCTATGCTTCACCAAGATCAATCTATGGAGTTCATCTAGCAACGAGAGAGAGGAGTGCATCTACATACCCTTGTAGATCATGAGCGGAAGCGTTCAAGAGAACGGGGTTGAGGGAGTCGTACTCGTCGTGATCCAAATCACCGATGATCCTAGTGCTGAACGGACAGCATCTCCGCGTTCAACACATGTACGGTTGGGAAGACGTCTCCTCCTTCTTGATCCAGCAAGGGGGAAGGAGAGGTTGATGGAGATCTAGCAGCACGACGGCGTGGTGGTGGATGCAGCAGCGATCTCGGCACGGCTTCGCCAAGCTCTACGAGAGGGAGAGGTGTTGCAGAGGGAGAGGGAGGTGCCAGGAGCATGGGTGTGCAGCCCTCCCTCCCCCCCCCCCTCTTTATATAGGGCCACTAGGGGGGCGGTGGCCAGGGGGAGAAACTTGCCCCCCAAGCCAGGTGGAGGCGCCCCCACCCCTAGGGTTTCCAGCCCTAGGCGCAGGGGGCCCAAAGGGGGAGCACAAGCCCACCAGGGGCTGGTTCCCCTCCCACTTCATCCCATGGGGCCCTCCGGGATAGGTGGCCCCACCCGGTGGACCCCCGGGACCCTTCCGGTGGTCCCGGTACAATACCGGTGACCCCCGAAACTTTCCCGATGGCCGAAACCTGACTTCCTATATATAATTCTTCACCTCCGGACCATCTCGGAACTCCTCGTGACGTCCGGGATCTCATCCGGGACTCCGAACAACTTTCGGGTTACTGCATACTAATATCTCTACAACCCTAGCGTCACCGAACCTTAAGTGGATAGACCCTACGGGTTCGGGAGACACGCAGACATGACCGAGACGACTCTCCGGTCAATAACCAACAGCGGGATCTGGATACCCATGTTGGCTCCCACATCTTCCACGATGATCTCATCGGATGAACCACGATGTCGAGGATTCGAGTAACCCCGTATACAATTCCCTTTGTCAATCGGTACGTTAGTTTCCCGAGATTCGATCGTCGGTATCCGAATACCTCGTTCGATCTCGTTACTGGCAAGTCACTTTACTCGTACTGTAATGCATGATCCCGTGACCAAACACTTGGTCACATTGAGCTCATTATGATGCTGCATCACCGAGTGGGCCCAGAGATACCTCTCTGTCATACGGAGTGACAAATACCAGTCTCGATTCGTGTCAACCCAACAGATACTTTCGGGGATACCCGTAGTATACCCTTATAGTCACCCAGTTACGTTGTGACGTTTGGTGCACCCAAAGCACCCCTACGGTATCCGGGAGTTACACGATCTCATGGTCTAAGGAAAAGATACTTGACATTGGAAAAGCTCTAGCAAACGAACTACACGATCTTGTGCTATGCTTAGGATTGGGTCTTGTCCATCACATCATTCTCCTAATGATGTGATCCCGTTATCAACGTCATCAAATGTCCATAGTCAGGAAACCATGACTATCAGTCGATCAACGAGCTAGTCAACTAGAGGCTCACAAGGGACATGTTGTGGTCTATGTATTCACACATGTATTACGATTTCCGGATAACACAATTATAGCATGAATAATAGAAAATTATCACGAACATGGAAATATAATAATAATCATTTTATTATTGCCTCTAGGGCATATTTCCAACACCACAATATTGTGTGAGCGTCTGCCATGGCAACGAACCCTTGCTGTCAAGCAGGTGGCTGAGAGCTGCCATGAGAGCCTCATCGCTGAAGCCACCCTGGGTCATGACAGCGCCATACAGGTCAGGATGGACGTCGAGGGGCTTGCACTCCCTGATGGTTGTTGCCACCTCCTTCACCGCCTCAGTCATGTTGCAAAAGACATTGATCTCCTCCTCCGTCAGGCATCCTCACTTCCTCTTCCTATCATGGCCGAGGTCAAATGGCTTGTCGAAGGGCTTATCATGGCCATCAAGGACCTCGACGTCCGGGGTCCCAGGGAAGTCTGGCATGGGAGAACCAAGAGGCTCCCCTGAGCCCGTGGCATGCTTCCCAGTTGCGAGCCCGAAGGAGAAGATGTGATGCATCTGGCTGTAGTTCTGTATGGGTGTGTTGAGGAACTCAGCGTCCCTTGGGTGGTCCTAAGAATGAAACACAAGTGTTGTTAGTTGCGATTAGGAGTAGGCAATGGTGGACAGTATGAAAAGGAAGAGGGTTCTGAGCTAATCACGACATGGACGGCGTAGTGCTCTGCCTCCAGAACTATGGAGCAAGTGTTCTCATCCCATGAGGCGCCGCTAAGGTCTCTCGGCTTGGACAATTGGTCCACCTCTCCACATCCTCAGGTGGTTGTACACATGGGTGGCGGACACCTCCTGCCCACAGAACTCGAACACCTGCTTCGCAACGGTTTTCAAGTGCACCTCCTTGAAGCCCTTGTCAGTCCTAACTCCACTAGAGATGAGCTCACACATCTTGTTCAGCATGAACATGTACATGAACAACTGCCACTTCATGTTGTTCGACCTACCATCCTTCTTTGCCTTTGTTGTCGCTACCTTGAGTGCAGCGGCAGCAGCAGCAGGAGGAGTTTGCTCAACGAGCCCTACTAACACATAGACAGAATCAGACGCGAACACCTCTGAATCTGGTGCCATCTCGGACATAGGCTACGAGTCCTCGACAAACAATGGAGCACTGGCTGTGGACAAGACAAGGGCCTAACTAAGATCTTGCGTCTGTGTGGTCATGTCCTACAATCGTAGCACACGTTGACAGTAAGCATAGCACACAACATACCGGACAATCCATGAAAGCAGGAGCATACATGTACATGGTTCATCACTATCATACCAACCACATGCTTCATCACTATCATACTAAGCACATGGTTCATCGCTATCATACTAAGCATACCGGACAATCTATAAGCAGAAACATACATCTACAACAAACATCATGCTACAAATGGACCACCAATAGCTACAAATCACAGATCTAAGCACGAATCAACACAAGCACAAGGTTCAACTTCAAACTCTACTACTAATCTAGCCTACCACATGCTTGAACATCTAACCCTACCACAAATTGCAACCGCAACATAGCAATCAACCATATCAGCTCACAGATCAGAGCACTAATCAACCATGCATCTACATCAAACCCTAGCTGCAGCTCAGATCTAGCTAGAAGGAACAGAGAGAAAGGGGGGTTGAACTCACAGAGGCCATGGCTGCAGCTCGAGGACGAGGGGGGAACGGTCGTAGAAGATCACCGTTCGCCGGTGAAGGACCGCCGACGCCGTGGACCGCCGGCCGATGAATATGCGCCGCTTACCTGCTCGTCGGTGTCGATGCGCGTCGGCGGGAAAGCTCGAAAGGGGGAAGAATGGTGGCGGGAGTTGGGGTGGTGAGGGAGGGGGCTAAATAGGGGCGGACTCGGCAGGAGGTGAGCCGAAATCCTCCCGCCGATTTTTCGGCGACGCGGGCGAGCTCGCGCCATCTCCCTGGTCGCACGAGGAGAGAAGCGCATCGCCTTCCCCTGCGTCGCCCGAGCCAGGCTCGTGAGCTACTGCCAATTTGGGCGTTTGCCCTGGGCATGGCCTGGAGGTGCTTTAAGATTCATGCCATGCGCGCCGCACAGTAAACGCAGGCAACCAAACGGACCACTTTCTTTCCGCGTGGGCCAGGCTAGGCCATATGCAGGCAACCAGACACGACCGTAGTGACAACGTTCAGCTACAACTACTTTGTACACGGGGACGGGTTTGAAGCGCTTCCTTTAGCAATTTCATCTTTGCTATGACAAATTCGTTTTGATCCTTGGGGACATCTGGCATCAGAGAAACGAATGCACCTTCAGGCAAAAGAGTGCAAGCATGACTGAAGTTTTGGCAAGCATCACAAGGACTGTGGAACTGTGGCGCCAAGCAGGAGCAACACACCTGGAGCACCCTTTCTGGGATCCTCCATGAGAGAACAACCTGCTCTGAACTAGCAACGGCTAGTTTTTTTCTGGCCTGTTTTTTGCCTTCTTCCTTTTTAATCCTTGATCGCAAGATCGAACTCCACCTTGTGTTTTTTCCCGCCTGCTCCCTGCTATGAAATCAATATATACCAGCCATCAGCTGGCCCGTTCAAAAAAAAAAGACAAATTCGTTTCCC